ACTTTCTACACCTCATTTGAAGCTTCATTAATCGTAATCTGATCAAATATGGAGAAAATTTTAAGCTTTGTGTAGTGAAAGTAGCTAAAGAGAAAGGGGGAGGAAAAGGAATCAGCTTGCAATGAGGGTTTGGAGAGAGAGAAAATCTGGGAAAGTGTTGGGGGAAAATGAATATTTGATCTGATTAGGACTTAAAGAGACAGAGAGAGAGAGGGAGAAGAGGAATAAAGATATGAGAGACGAAAAAGAAGAAAAAAGGTGAAAGAGAAAAACAGAGAGGATAATGCAAATCGCAAAATACCCACAAAAAACTTTAATCTGAAATTCATAATAATTACTTCATTATTTTCTTTCTTTATTTCCTTTGCTAGCTTTGCACTATTTTTTTCTGTTTGGTGACCGAGAAAGTTGTAAAAATTGAAGCGAGTACAGTGAACTGTAAATAGTAAAGTCAAGCTTTTCTTCTCCGTACGAAAATTTAAAAAAAACATTTTTCATTCATAATAAAATTAAAAAAATTCATTCTTTTGCATAAAATTTCACATTTTTCTATATATAATTTCACTTTAACTTAAATCAATATATTTTTGTTCAAATCAAGTTAAATAGTTTTTTATTGCAAATAATTATTTTATTAAAATTATTAAAATATATAAAATTTATTTATTATTAATGTTCTATTTAAAAAAATTAGCTTCACTAATTTGGTTGGTAACATAACTAATAAATAAGTGACAGTTTAACACCAAACTTCATCCATCGTATTTTATTATGAGATAATTGCACAAGATGTCTTTAAACTATGATTTTATTTTGAATTGATCCTTATATTTCAAAATATTTTTATATCAACCTTTAAATTATACTTTTAATTTTATATTAGCTTTTATATTTTTAAAATATTTTATATCAATCCTTAAATTATCAGTATCATTCTATTTTGATCCTTTTGTTACTATATCATTAATTTTACTAGCTAAAAAATAAATTTATTTTTTAAGGACTTGAGAATTAAGCTTGTGGTCTTCTAAAAAAATTCAAGACCCTCTAAATCATTTTTTTCTAAAAATTTGTTGGTTTAATTCTCAAGACCTTCAAAAATAAATTATGTTTTTAGAATGCCACATGTTCAATTTCCTAGACCTTAAAAAACAGTACAATTAACGACACATTAACGAAAGTATCAAGATTGAATGATATTGTCGGTTGATGTATAAATTAATTTAAAATTTAGGGGTTAGTTTAGAATGGTTCATAATTTTGGGATCGATGTAGAATATTTTAAAGATTATGGATCAATTTAGAATGGGGTCATAACTTGGGAATTGATATATAATGTTTTAAAGATTAGGGATTAGTATAGGATGGAAGTTATAATTTAGGGACCTCTTTTACTATTAACTCTATTATAAGAAATTTAGATTAATAATTACAATAAAATTAACAATATTTGATTTTTTTTCTTTACATAAATGAAAGTATATTTATCTTTTACATTAATATTGAAGGGGGGGACTATTATTGAAAGTAAGTAAAATATAATTATGTAAATATCAAAGTACACTAATAAAGTTTAATAGAGTGAAGTACGACAATAAAATGCAATATTAAACTATGATAAATTTATACCTACTTTTAAGCGATTATTGATGAGAAAATCACCAAAGGAATAAAATTTAAATTTAAATTTAAAGAAAAATGTTGGCGAAGAAGAATGAAGAAGCATGCCAAGTGGCGGGTTCACTACGGATGGGCACGGGTAGAGCGGGCCGTTTTTTTTACCGTCTTGACCTCTACTCGAAAATATATATCTAAAACTCGATTTCGCTCTGTCCCGATGAATTGTAGGTTTTTTCCGTCTCAAAATAGTCCAAATTTTAGATTAAAACCCGATTGGGCTCAATCAGAATATATTAATATTTTAAAATAATTAAAATAATACTATTTATTATATTTTAAATGATTAAATTAATGTATTTTATAATAATTTGTATACTTTCTAATAATTGAATAATATATTTTTTAAAATATAAAAATAAAAATTATTAATATATATATATATATTAATCGGCTCAGGTCGGGTTAGTATTTTTCACCTAAAATTCAGCCTCATCCCGTTCTAAAATCTTATATTACATAACTCATCTTGCCTCGAACCCAAAAATTTAAAAAAAAAAACCAGTAAGGTTAGGATATTCTGACCATCCCTTGTGGGCTGTTGATTGAAATTTCACATATATATCCATAATGGCTCGTCACTTTTGTTGTTACAATCCCTCACACCAATTAAAGGCCCAATTTAAAGCAAAGAAAGTGTCATACAAATTATGGGCGTATAAAATTCGATTTGATTTAATTTGGTATCACCTTCAAGATGTGATAATATCAGTTGTTAATATATAGTTAACATTATATTTATTTTTGTATTAATGTTGATTTTTTAATTATTTGATTGATTTTTTTAACATTCTTTATATGACGTCATTTTTTATTAAGTGAGTAGTGTATGTTCTTCTATAATAATTTATTCTTTGTACAACATGATGGAACTCATCTTTATAAAGGAAGCAGAATAATTTTATTATTTTTCAAAATAGTAGCTATTTTTATATATTTTTTTAAAATTAATTAATTAACTTGAAATTTCGACAATTTTCCAATAAATGGAAAAACCCATAAAGGCAAAAGATATAGTAGAAAAGAAAGAATCTAAATTATACAATTAAGTTGGATGGTGTAGAATGAGCAAAAGCTAATATGTCCTTGAGACAAGGCCATGTTCTAAACAGGTTATTTCCATGGACCACCCATGCAACTTAGTTTAAAGCTATTTCACCTACAGTTCTCCATTCCATCTGTTATCATTTCTCGAATTCGATTTAATCTAATTCAACAATAAAATTTTATTCTTTTAGCATTAAAACTATAATAATAAGAATGTAATTATGGGTGGATAAGGTTTTGATCAAGGACCAACGTAAAAATTTATATTAAAAGATTCGTATTTTAATGCCCTTTAAACCAATTGATCTAAGAATTAATAGATTCTCTAGTCCAGTATAGTATATTAACATGGGGAGACGTTGCACTGACGTGATTAAAAATGATTTTATTATTATTATTATAATTTCAATGAAATTTAAACTTTCAACCTCTTAATTTTATATTAAATAATATACCTCTAAGTCACTATATATACACATATATGAATGCAAAGTTGTACTAGGATTGTCAATTTTATTTATAAAAATATTAGTAAATATTAGGTTCAAGTAATTTAAGGCTCCAATAATTTGTAGATCATAAAGTGTATTTAAAGTTTCTCTTTTCTCCTTTTGGCATATGGTAAAGTATATACTTTTTGGATATAATTTTTTATTCGAGTTTATAAAATTTGAGTCATTTTTTATTAAGATTATTATAAAATAATATTTATTTTAAGTATTCTTAATTATTTGACAATAAATGCTCAATCACTCAATCATGTTAGGGTCGTTGGTGCTTGAATTCGAAACCTCGAAGAATAACAATTATTCCTTATAATTCCTAAGGTAATTTGGTTCATGCAAAATTTAATTCAAATTAAATTGACTATATTTGTTTGAGTTTTTATCTAAATTTAAAAATATTTATTTATAAAATTATGATATTTATATATTCTAATTTAAACGACTTTGTCTGGGCATATACAATATATAATATAATCTTATTCCGTTTATAGTGTTATTGATAAATCAAATACCTTTAAAATTATTTAATATATTACATATTATTTTGTAAAGAATAGAATTTGAAGATAAAAATGTCAATGAGAATATAAGAGTCAAAGAGCTGACGAGAAAAAAAAAACTTTGATATTAAAATAAGAGCTCAAAATTATACATATTTTTTCGATTATGTGCCTAAAATATTTTTTATTCATCCAGTTGTCTAACATTATAAATGTTACCCATTTATGTGTCTGCGCCGTCAACGACGTTAATTTTCATGTTAAGTGACACGTGTATGCTTTTAAAACTTTTATTAAAAATAAAAAAATATTTTTTAAAGAAAAATATAAATATTTTGAAATAATCCCAAAACTTTAAAAACATTAATTTCAAACCCTAAACCCACGCCGATCATCACCCTTTACCATCGACGAAGCTCCACACAACTTTATCTCCCCTCGGCGACCAAAACCCTATGAAATCATGATCGATTGACGGTTGATAGACGTTTTACACCCCCACGAACCCTAGGATGAAAATTGCATTTCCACGCGACCTCGACAACCAAGCGACGACAACTATGATGGTGAATGACTAGGAGGATGGCAAGACTACATCGACGGCGGTTGTCGTGGTCGAAAATGGCGACGACGGTGGGTTAAGGATAGGGTTTGGGGATTTTAGGTATTTTGGGTTTTTTTTATAATTTAAGAGAAATTAGGTTTTTTATAAATATAATAATATTTTTAAAAAATAAATTTCAAAATTACTATATCATGACATGTGTCACTTAAAAGGGAAATTAACTCTGTTGACCGAGCACCTAAATGGATAACGTTTGTAACGTTAGACACCTAGATAAGTCAAAAATTAGTTTAGACACCTATTCGATAATCGAAATATAATTTGAGCACTTATTTTGGTATTAAGCCAAAAAAAATTTGTATAAGAGAATCAAACTGAATAAAAACAATCATATTAAGAGATTGAATTCTAAAAAAGGGCAAAAAGTTATTGTCAAAATAAAAATAAAAATTACACATGTATTTTACTATGGTCGAGAAGAATATAACTTAAAATGGCTGAGAAGAGTATAATTTAAATTTAATCATGATGAACTTAGACCAAAATATTGTTTTAATTTTTGGATTTTTGATTATTCAAATTTTATAAATTCAAACTCGACTCAAACTCAAAATCCGACCAAAAAAAATTGAGTTGAATAACTTAAATTGAAAAAAGATCCATTTTTGAGTCTGTTAAAATTCATAAAAGTTGAAAACTCAAATCTTGAAGAAAAAAAAGTTCTTTTATTTAGAAACTCCAGATCTTGTGATGGGAGGGCTAATTTGTTCGTATATTCAACAGCTGAGCACAAGGACAAAATACAATGAACAAAAATGATCTCTCAGCACAATGTTCGTGCCGGCGACGCTTTTTCCTGCGACGATTTCAAGGAGTCGAGACAACCCCTTCAGCCTTTCTCCACAATCCATCAGCATCGTCAACCCGAAGAAGAACTAGTTTCTGCAGTTTCATCTTCACTGAAACTAGATGGTACATCCGTGGTAGATCTAGATGACATATAACACAGTTCAAAGATCTTGATGAGTATAAACTAATAAATGGATGGATAGAGGGAGGTAAAATATATGTATATATATAACATACTGACCTTTTAGTCAATTTTGTTAACAGAGGCGATCTGGCAAGTGATGCATATGAAACGACATCTTGCTGCGGAAATTCGGCATTGGCTTGCTTGGCAACCTTCGGAATTCAAAAAAGAGGTGTCAAAAGCAAGACACGAGTGCACGATAAGACCGAAAACCGACTAAACGTTGAACTTACTCTCAATTCATTTGTTGGATCAGTTTTTACTCGTACAGGGTACTCCTTTTTCAGCTTCTGCTTTCCACCGAGTTTCTTGGCCTGCATATATGTATCCAAAACAAAAATCGAGCCAAAACATTCACTACGGAAACCATTGAAGGACAAAGCATGTAGAAGAAATACCTTTACCATCCTTGCAGATGGCTTAGACATGTTTTCTTTCTTCAGGGCCTTATATGTGTGATTATCATCGTCATGCAAACAAGGCTTTTCTCGTTCATCATTGACTTTTCCACCATTGGGGTCGGGATGGTTAGAGAAAGAATCTGGTCTCATCCTTTCGACAGCAAGTTTAGAGTTCATCCAACTTCGTTTGCAGTCAGTGACGCCATCTTTTTCGGCAGAACCTTTGTGGATATCCACTGAAGAGTTCTGACCCGGGAATGAGTTTGAAGAAAGAAAAGAGGACTTGTATTTTAATTGCTGACGAGGTTTCTTGTTCCGTCTTTCAGATCCATGCATGGTTTTGAAGGTTGCATTTCCCATATAAGAATCATGTGAAATCAACTTGCAAACAAGGACACGAAAGAGAAAATAGACGTATCATGGGGTGATCACTTCGGATAAGTTGTTCTTAAAAAGAGAGATGATATCCAGCTTGTTAATTATGATTTTCCATTATAACTAACGTCAATACAGGAATAATTATGGCGTCTTCCATGTATCCGAGTAAAACAGACAATGCTCCAAGAAGCACCATGGAACCAAAGCTTTCAAGCTGCAATGTCAAAAGCTAGAGCTGGAATCCGTTGTTTTGCTGTCCAACTAAAAGATCCATTTACAGGTGGATCCAAAACATTTCTCGGCGAGGATAGAGGATCATTCTACCTTCCGGAGGAGAATTTATCATTTATTTCCGACATTAAATAGTGGGGTGGAGAAAGTTGCTTAAATCCTGAACAACAGACTTTTTGCCCCACTTTAAACCCCATAAATACTTGCAGAATCTGACACATATGCTAATGTTATAATACTCGCACACAAAACTCTATTATTAAAGAGAATAACCCGAATTTAGCAATATCTAAACAGGACTGGAATATAGCACCTTAGAAAGACTTGAACGTCATCATTATTTCGTATACTGATTGAACATATACAAACTAACTCATCCTAGTTTTCAACACTATTTAGCAGGGGTCATATTATTTCTGCAAAGTATATTAAAACATGGAAAAAGTGCCTCCAAGAGTCCACTTACAAAGTTAAGATCCGGCTGCTTTATAACTCCAGAGATATTTGATGAAAGGGGGTGTTGGGGATCTCCAGCATCAACCGGTTCTGCTGAAGCAAACACACGAGATTCAAATATTTCATCATTTCATGACTAAAGAGTGATACATGATCAGCTTTAAGCACAATGACTACCATGGAAGAACAGCAGTAATGGTGTTCGGCTGATAGAACCAGGACAAGTGGTGATGAGGTCAGGAGATGCAAAGGATGGCATCGAAAGGCATAATGACAAGACTAGGAATATATATATAGACACACACACACACACTACTGGGGCTGAATCAGTTGCAGTTGGATCAAGAAGGCTTTTTGTGTGCTTTAGTTAAAGGTTAAGCAATATCTCAATTAAAAAGGTTTATCTATTTCTTTCTGATTGTACTACTTGCAAAAGACTATTTAAAACAAGAAAACTGATTCACATTAGCCTCAAAAAGTAGAGAATGAAGAGTTCTGAACATTTGGATTGAACTGATTTAATCAGGTAGTTCTTATATTTTAACTTATCTTGATCTTACTTTGAGTTAAGGCCTAGGATCCTTCAAGGAGTGATGAACTGCATATATTTTCGAAACGCTATGCTTCCGTAGGCTAAATACATAAAAGACAGAAGGAATACGCTAAATGTAATTATTACTTCCTAAGTTCAAAAGCTACTAAAGGTTTACTAGACTAACTAAGTACCAAATAATATATAAAATGAAAAAAAAAATTAAGTTACCCTTCTATTGGAAATGATATTCATGATTCTATAAAAATTGACAATATGGCAAACAGATTTTGGTATTGGACTTACCACCGACAGGCTTGCTACTCGGGAATTCAAAAGCACCATTAGGGGGTGAATCAAACTCAATACCAAGTAGTGGACCATCTTCCAGATAATACCTCCCCAGCTGCCTCTTAACTGCAGTAATAGCAGGATTTTCACTTTCACCCTTAACCTTCAAGTATCCGGATGGCTTATAAACCTTGCTTTTAGCCATCCTTCTGTTTGCGTTTATTGGTAAAGTTGCTCCATTTTGTTTACGCTTTGCAGGAGTTGGCATGTCATGAGGATCTCGGCTTTCAGAAAAGTTCATATCTTGTAAAGATGAGCTACTTTCAGAAGATGTATCTTCCATATGAGCATCATATGGATTTTGATGACTCCTACGGTCAGCTAGAAACTCTTGGCTAAAAATCCTTCCACTTTCAACCTCCCTCGGATCAATATTCCTATAATCCCGCTCCTTAATACTGCCAGAAGAATCTTGCCTGAGTCCACTACCACGATCCTCAATAACGCCACTAGAATGATCCACTCGCCCATTAGCATTCTCGTCTCTCCTTTTGTCTTTTAACCTTCTGTGACAAAACCAACTAGATATCTGCTTTTCTGTCAACCCTACCTGAAGTGCTATTTGTGCTTTCATTTCGTCTGAAGGAAATCTGAGCTCTGGAGAACACCCGAAACTCGTTTGAAACATAGAAAATGAAGCATGCAATTAAGATGGGAAGTGAAGAACTAGTTACCTTTGTAGAATTTCTCCAGAGCCATAACCTGGGCTGGTGTCTTGACCGTTCTTTTCTTATTGACATCTAGAGAAACTTTATTCTCTTCAGTCTGAACTTCACCTGAATCTAAAGCAATCGCATAGAAGTAGAGGCAAATGTATTATTAGATTCGATGACATTAACCATGAAACAGAAAGAATGGTTTGAAATTTGTTACTTTGGTGCTATGCTACATAATGAAACCAGAGCTATCATTATGATGGATTACTTACTATCATATGAGATGTACGATAAGTATCGGCCATCTAAATAAAATATCATAAAAACGAGAAAGAGGGAAAATCAAACTACCAAACAGTAAAACAGAAACCTCATGATTACTCAGAGCCAGATGAACAATTTCACTATATTCCTTCAGCCATTTTAAACACCTTTACATTTGTCGGATTATTCTGGTTATGACACTATATACTAAAAACTTATGCTGGTTTCCGACATTAACCAACTCTAGAAGGCCACATCTTATATTTTTGTCAAACTGATCTCTAACATTTAAGAGAAATAACCAACAGAAACACCTAGCATTTAAGCACAGGCATTGATAACCGAAGCATCTCGAATCCTTCTGTACTCCAACCAAAAATATCAAAAAGAGAAAAATATATATATCTTCATTCCCAGATTCTTTCATATCATTAATGTAGCTCCCTACAATTTAACATACTGAACATAATACGACTAAGCCTCCGGCCAAACATACCTCCCCAACCCATTAACTTATGACCTTTCCCGAATTCATGTTTGCTAGTTCATTAGTGATTGCCTCCGTAAACCGTTAGTAAAATTTTCCTTTACCAATAAACCTGTTGCAATCCTCATCCCATTTTCCCAAGAAATTGATCTTTAAAATTCATTTTGGTTTCAGTTCAAGTGAGCCAAATGCACAAGTTCATGGATCACTTGTCGGATCACTGAAGTATATAAAATAACTCAAATCCATCAGCCGGACATATTAACATAAATTTCTGACTTGACATTCAAGTCCATGCAAGGATCCGAAGATATAGCTTTATGCAGATTACCCTCATCCATCCATTGATACATCACTTATCGCAAAAATACTCTTGAGGTTCATGATAAAACGACACTTCCAATCTGCAGCGCTAACAACAATCTAAAGGAAACATGCAATGATTAGACACGAATTATCGTGGCACAAATAACTTATTACATAAACAAGGCTGCCATTGAAGAATTTTGCACGGTTAGAACTTCCAAGTGATGAAACAACATTAAATCATAAGAAATTAGGCTTACAGCAACATTCTAAAGGAAACATGCAACCATTTGAAGCAACAATCAGACGAATATTTAAAGCACAAATAACTAATTACATAAACAAAATTTTGTGTCTTTCCATGTGATGAAACAATATTAAATCATAGCAAATCAGGCTTGACTTAGCCGAAAACAAAATTAAACAATTCGTAATAAATAGATAAATCCAAGCAAACAAAGACATTTATAATGCATTTTCTAATGAACCAAACTCCCCTCAAAATTACAAACGCTGCTTATCGACCGGAAATTCCTAAATGCATGCAACTTTCCTTTACAGTTTCCAGTAAGCAGAAACCAAACGTTAAACAACCTGAAATTCCAACATTTTCGAATGCCAAAAACTCTAAATCGGGGCCGTTAATTAACACAAAATTAAGAACCCAAATCTCAAAACTTTAATCTGAGATCAAGAAACGAAGGCATTTACCTTCCATAGTGAAAGCGTCTATTTTTTTTTTCTCTGGGTACTCTTTGTTTTTCCCTTTCAATTCCAGTGACCCACCATTTCAGCCAATGCAAAATTTGGGTCTTCGATTCTACAAAGCTCCTTTTACAAGTCTACCTTTGTTTTAAACTATACGTTTACGTTTCAAGAGATGGAGGGGGGGGAGAGAGATTCTGAATGAAGAATGTAAAGAAAAAAAGGAAAGGGGGAATTGTTTGTTGTTAGTGTTGGTGGTTCGTCCCCCCTTATTTTTCCTGCTGTTCGTTCCATTTTGATTCGATTATAAGGATTCAACGGCTGTGGTTTTGTTTTGGGTTTGGATTTAATCAAAACCCAGATTTGGGTTTCGGCTGTTTTTGCATTTTGTGATTTGTCTATCCTTTTTTTAGGCACCATTTTCTTGCCCAGAAAATATAAAAATCAACTATGGTTTTTGCTTACTACATCCAGTTGCCATCAAAGATTAGATTGGATAAAATATTCAAATTTGTTGAGTTTTGATCTTATTTAATTATATATAAAGTTAGATTTTTTTTAAAGTTTAAATTTAAAATTAATTTTATGAAGTAAGAACACTATAAATTTAGAAGAAAAAAAACTTCGTCCTAAGCCAATTTAAATAATTATTATCATATAGTTTCTATGTATATTTAGAGGTATTGTATTGTTTTTTTCCCACATTTTTTAATTAAATTTTTATTTTTATTTAGCTGATAACAACATTAATCTTAATGTTAATTATCGATCGCCGGTAATTATTAGTTCTTTTATTTTTTATATTATGTCATTTATTCTTATCTTGAGTTTTTTAGTTTTGAATAAGAATCTATGTTTTTATGACATGTTTCTTCATGTTTTTGTGACACACATTTTCTCTGTTTTTGTAACAGAATTCTTATGATTTTTTGTACTTTTTTTTGCATACTTTTATTGTTATTGTTGTGCTAACACAAACCATCACATTATTTATTTTTTGATTAGTCCATCGATGCTCACATCTAGTTATATCTCCTCTTTGATAAAAGGTCGTTTATCGTTATAATTAGAATTATGTAACAAAATAGTCTATTAAATAATTTGGTTCGCTCACCACTTCTTTATCACTTTGTATCTTCGATTTAATATTTCATTTTGTATGAATTTTTTTTAGAGTATTATCTTTTTTCCACTCTTTATATTTAAGTACGTTACAATTCTATTTTTTTATTATGTTATTAATGCAATCCAAATTCTATTGTTCGAAAAATTTATTTATATTAAGTTAGATTAAAAATAATTTTATTTAAATTGAGTAGAATATCATCAAACATCTAGAAAATATTTAATTTATAAATTTTGAACCAAAATAAATACAATAAAAAGAAATTCGACCTCAAATATTGTACATGGTACTCGTACTTAATCATGATCACATAAAATCTCTTAAATTTCAAACTCGAAGACTAAGACATTCCAAGAGTCGATAAGTTGAATAGAATTAACACTATCAATCATGCGACCATCATAATCTCTACGGACCACGACAATAACTTGTTCAAAAATGACAAACCAGCATTCTTACATTTGGTTTGAACGAGCAAATCAACAGCCCGAGTGCCGCTACGTTGGCGTTGGCGTTGGCGTTGTCTGGCTTATTATTGCGGCTCCGTGTTTGCCTCGTATAAAAATATGTGCACATAATTGTCGCACGTCGGGTGAGTCCGAAATTTAGTTTTGACTTGAATAAAATGATTTAGAGTTGTCACCGATCACTTTAAAAAACATTTAGGTTGATCGAACACCATCTTACCTAATATTCGTTTTATCAGAAATGTGTCGGGTTCGGGAGTCGGTTACAATCAAGGAAGGATTAGTACCCTTGAACCTCTCTTTTGGTACCAATTAATTTGTCGGTTGTCTTAATTACGAAAATCTGAAATTAAAATTTATAAACTCGATTCAAATTACTTATCTTTAATCGATTGAAATTAAAATATAAAAATATAATATAATATTAATATATAAGTCACGGACGACAACATTTAAAATGATTGAATTACACCTAACAAGCAAAGTTGCTTATGGTAACAAATAACAGAAAATTAAACAAAACATGTAAACAAGCAGCCTTACATACAACCCATTAACATATTGATAGAATTTCCAGCAAGCCATAAAGAATTTGTCCAGAAATTTTATGAGCTTAGCTTTATCTTATCCAGCTGAATCCCATAATCAAATCAACTTCTCAAATAGCAAATTCATTTTCCAGAATTACAAAATCTAGCATTTAGTATCAGAATTAACACCCAGATTGCTAAGAATAATAAAAAAAAATTAATACCACAAGTAACCAATAAAAATTGTAAATTAGGAATTTTAATCTAAAAAAATATGTACTCTAATCATGTTCAAATGTTTGAGTGTCGTTGAGGACCAGTACGCTTATCAAGCAGTTGTTAAGATCGGTTACGTTCAAAGGATTTCTTTATAACTAATGGGTTTTCGAATACATCTGAATTGAATTTAGCCAGTGATGGAGTTGACGGTAGAAATATCAAGTCATCTTCATCTCCTATTCTTAATCCATCAGAAACCTATACTGCCGCATGCGACAGCTTCCTCGATGGTTCGGGCTATGACAATCCATTAAACTAAGTTCATCCCTTTTGAGTTTAGGTTCTTACCATCCAATGAATTAGTTTTTTTAAATTTATTAAAATTGAGACTAAATTAAATTTATATATATTAATTACGAATAATATTAATATATTTTAAAATAAAATTATACATACAAATAATGATATTTACATGGCCAATCATGGTTTTGTTTTCTCCCAAACAGATGTCAAAAGAGTGAGAGATTCGAATAAAATTATGATCTTAAATTAGATTTCCCCTTGGACTTTCCTCTGATGCAACAGTTAATGTAAGTCAAGATCTTCTCTCTCTTCTGCAATATCAACACATTTGGCAGACATTAGGGATCACAAAATCAAAAAATTTGAAACTTTGTTCTGCTAGTGTCAAATTCAATTGAAATCTTACGGACACATGATCATCCTTGCCTTGTCGACAAGGCAGTTGACAAGGCGATGGTTGATGAGGTATTAAAGCAGCGACGAATTCGGGATCTATCCGATCCCACCCTCCGAAATCGGAAACAGTCTCCCATGTATTGTTCTGTCAATATCAAAACATGTTCCGCTGTCATCCCTACTCGAAATGTTGTTACAGTATATGTGAAATCAGAGATCTTACAGCCACCGTGGTATTTTGGTTATCGTCTTGTCCAGGAGGCTGCAATCGATGCAGTGAGGCGGCCATGAAATCCCGGTCGTTTCCTAAGCTTAGCCCAACGTTGGCCTTTTGTTGCTTCCTGGTGTCTCGAGCTTGCGAGAACTCTATCGTGTAGTTTATAGATCCGGGAGCTTTCCGATCCCACCCTCCGAATTTGGGAACCGGGGTCCCTCTTTTGCTCTGTCAATCCATTCTTTGTTTAGCTATATAATTGCGTACAAACGTACACGCATATATGTCAACTAGACAATCTAAATTAAGTAAGTCGAAGCCTTACCGCAACAGGATCGTTTTCGTCGTCCATTCGAAGAAATGGTTGATTAGGCAGTGATGCAGCAGCCATATACTCCTGCTCGTTTCCTAGGCTCCGGCTAACGATGGTCTTTTGTTGCTTCCTGTCAGCCAGACCTCGGGACATTGACATCGAATTACCAGTTTCTCCGACGACTTTCTCGTCACTCCTTCCTGATTCAAGAACAGAAATCTTTGCTTTGTTCTGGCCAACGAAATGTCGTGACATCAATTGCTTAAAAAACTCGTCCAGTTGTATATAATTTTATGATAATGCAAGTATAATAATAACGAACATAAAACAATGGTAAAATAAAAACCAGCGAAAAATCTGACCGTGACAGAATCTTGGTTGTCATGTCTTAATGAAGCAGCAGCTAAATCAACTTCATTTCCTAGACTTCGCCAAACATCCTTTTGTTGCTTCCTGTTGGCTCGAGCTTGTGAGAAAACCATAGAATAGTTGGTACATGCTTGATCTTTATTATCCCAATCTCCAAATCTAGGAACCGAAATCCATTCATTCGTCTGTCGATTAAATTTCAAAACAGAAAAACACAAACTGAGTTTTGATAAAAAAACATGATACGGTGAGGTTCGGACCGAACTTTAATGATCGGATTGAACCTCTCCCTACCATTAAACCATGAAAAAAGGAGGAGGATTACCTCTGTTGGGTTGGCCATGGATGGTTTGTGGGATGATTAATTATCAAATACGATAATTAATCAGGGAATTAAAGTTTCCCAACCCAGTTAAATTAATAGAATTTTCAGTCACAAATTAGAGGCAATTAATAACATAAATCATCTGTGAAGTGGATGCCTAAATTAAGTTAATATTTGACCAACAAATTCAAAAAATAGAATAAACACCATATCCGATAATAAAATTAAGACTATTAATCTGTATTTTTGGTTTCTTTAGAAAATATTTTAAGATATCGTTATTGTTGTAGATATTTTCAGATTTTTTTCCAAAAATTAAAAATTAGTTTTATGATCTTTATTTACAACTAGATTTTATGTTTGAGCCTGTGCAAAAATAAATAAATTAAGAAATATTTTTCTAACTTCAATTAGTAGTTTTATGGTTAAATGATGCATGAAATGTAAGTTTTTTATATCAATTAATATAATGAAATGCTAAATTATTATGAGGTACTACACCATTTGAACTTTAGATAATGTATTGATTTGAGCATAAAACTTTAAAATATTTAAATTGAATTAGAATTTTAAATTTTTATTTGAATTAGAGCATTAAGTCACTCAATCGTTAACAGTGTGAAAACATGATTCTTTCTTCCTCAATTTTTTGGCATAAAACCATCAATTCCTCTGATTGTTGTTGTTGATCTGTTGTCGCTCATCATCAGTCGTCGTTTGCAACAAGATTAGCACAAAATATTTGTATTTCACTCTCTCTCTTTTTTCATATAAGATTGGATTTTCATGAAATGTTTGACGTTTTTATGTATCAATATCCTCCTATATGGTTATTCAATGAGGCTAGCTTCTAGGTATGTTATTTGTATTCAATGAGCTAGTTTCTAGGTATGCCATTTTTATTTTTGTGAATTTTAAAAATATTTTGAGAAATTCAAAATTTTCTAATGTGAATTTTGACATTAATGAATTAGTAAGATAAGTCTCCTACCAAAAATTACAATCATTATTAGATTCTTTCTACTAATACATCGTCACTTGCATATGCCTCAGGATTTTCTTTTCTCACCATTGCCACAAATTTATCATAATTTATCTTTCCATCCTGTAACAAAAAATATATATGTCAATTTTTATGTATATATGCATGCAAGC